GCCCAATAATGCATAATTTCATTTGATAAACACGTTTAGATTGAATGGTAATTTATAATCAGTCACAAGAACGTCGAATCTGAATCACTTGAAAAAAACACGGGGGTGCTTAACTTTTTTCTAGGTGTATATTATAATCTCTATGTAATATCCATGTGAAACACTTTTCCCATGATGAAAGCCATGACTCAGTACGTGTGTTTTCCTCAAGCAAAGCCACAATGTGCTATTTGCTGTGTCCAACAAGGGGAATTCAACCGTTGATTGTACTGTTGTAAATCCAAAGACATACTACTATCACACCATGGGGGTGGGGGCATGATTCAATTAGGCACAAGGTCCTGAATATGTCCATAGGTATCTCCTTCAATTATAGTTTATTCATAAGGTTTATGACAGGTGACATTTAACTTTTTGACTAAAAGTACAGCATTTACACAAGATGTTGCTTTGTTAAAAGAAACTGTATTACAAATAAATGTACACTGAAAACAAATGACTCATGTAACTTGCTTTAATAATAGTTACGGGTCTAAAGATACATTCCCACCCAAAGCTCAGCCTATACTTGTTCGTGGAAAGTAATAAGTAACTGGCAATAAAGGCATCATGAAGCGTTTGTTTCAATAAAATTATGGCACAATTACAGAAAAGTACACAATAACGTGAATCTAGAGATCAAATTTATGTTATAAACATAGCTATATATGGAAATAATGGCTGTTACATTAATTAACCCATTGACTGCTGAGTTGCCGTACAGGGTACTATCTGCCCCTGGCAGTTGAATGCAAGTATACTATATATAGTGTATGGTTTGCAAAAATTCCACACACAATCAATACGTGTACATTTATCAGTTTATTAACAGTTAATAGGAAACAGGTGTCAGTCAATGACCATTTTGTTTTACATAGTGAACCAGTAAAATAGTTAATAATTGGGAAAAACAATGGATGTTTCCCATATCACCATATTATATCACTACTAGTGGCTTGAGCTATTGGAACAATTAAATCAAATTTTCCTCTAAGGTTTTTACTCTACCATCAGTACAGAGAAGAGTAAAACATGATTCAGCACACTACATCACAAGTTATCAATCAATCATAGCCCACAGTTACTCTAAGTACCACTGAAGTCATGTCTTTTTGATTTTCTACTTCCAAATGAGATTGTGAAATCTAGTGTTGAAGGAACTGGACACAGTGTAAGGTCAATGGCACCTATATGCCTGTCCAATATAATACTTCTTTCTTCCAACTATCACTAGCAGTTGACAGTATCTTAGCAGTCAACAATTTTACTTTCAACTGCCTCATTTTTAGCAAATAAAAATATTGAAAATGAACTTGCTGTAACTTTTTTTAATATTAAATCCATTTTACCATAAGTAACAGTGGTTATGTTTCTAGTGTGTAATACATAAGCAATATGCCGAGTTAAAGCAACACTATTGTTTAATCCAAACAAATTAAATGTTAACAACAACAAATGTAGCTAGTTATGTAACAAATGGCAACCAAGCCACACATCTATATTCATGTTGTGTATATGCCTTTGTATGAAGTCACACCAACAAAAATAGTACTAACTACCATGTTTTGTGTAAGTTCAATTGGTATGTACCTCAAACTGAAGAAGTTGTTATGGTGAAACTGCTAAGGTATCTAAGGCATTAAATGTGATGGTCAATCCTATATGTTGGCAAAGAGTAGCCCAAGAGTTGGTAGTTGGTTCAATAACCCTGTATTGAAAAAGAAATGTTCATTATAATTCAAAATTTACTACATGTATCTACAAGAAAGGTGGCAGGCATTTAGTAATATGTATAAGCATATTGTATACAAAACAACCAGATTTATTACAAAAGTACTTGTACTCAAGATTTATCTGTGGATTGCTAACATCTTTCTTACTATACACCTGGAAAAAAGTTAAGCACCCCCGTGTTTTTTTCAAGTGATTCAGATTCGACGTTCTTGTGACTGATTATAAATTACCATTCAATCTAAACGTGTTTATCAAATGAAA